CAAGGAGGAGAACGTAAAAATTTAAGTTTTAAAATGTATCTTGTATTACATATTAAATGCACATAGAAAATACTGCATAAGTTCTATTTCAAAGGCCAAAATGAGGACAAGAGGAAAGGTCACAGTGGGTGAATGATTCCATGGGTGAAAAAAATTAAGAAAAAAAAAAGATTGCTATTTCAAGTTCTCCAGAGGCTATCTTATATTGATGGTTAGAGGTCATTTTCTATTTTTTCTGATTATAAATAAGAAGGTATCATTAAAAGCACATTCAGCCGCTATTTGGTTAATCTAGGTTATAATTTTTGGTCCAATAAAGTTTGAAAATTAGTATTTGTTTTTCTTTAAGAATGAGACCCTCCAAAGTGACTTGGACATTAAGATGAGGTTTGAAAAGATGTCCAAGTTCTGTCCAAGGCAGCTGGAGAGGGTGCTCATAATTTTTATCCATCCCAGAACCAGTGGAGTAGGAGGTTCTCTTCTGGAGTAAAGACTCGTGTTATAGCCCCAGTTTCAACCCCGTTCTAATTGTGATGGGCGTAACGGATTAGCCTAAACCACATTAGCTTCAGTGCTGGCATTTTGTACCATCCTCTCACCTCTATGTATTTACTGCAAAGGGACATCAGGAATTCTGAATCCCAGATCTTCAGCTATGTAAGACATGTAAGAAACCTACTGGACACCCAACAACCTCTTATATCTAAGTGAAGATTTGCGGATATACAATTGATTAGATGTTATAATATATTCCTGTTCCATTTTAATGTTCCTAAAGTTTTTTCTTATGATTTATTTAAATTCATGATTTAATTTTAAAAGCATACAATTATAGACCAAATAAAAATTAAATTATAGACTGTAGCATACATTGAGCTTTCAATGTACAGATTTTGGACAGATTTTATTTTAGAAAAAAGTGGAAATATAATTGAACAAACCATATAAATAAGTCACATACCATCACCATTAAATCGTTTAGCCTAGCCCAAAAAACTGCATCAAAACTGATGTATTTCACCAGCCAACCATAAAATAAGAAAAGTCACTACACAGTTGAGAATCACGTTATATTCATGAGACCATGTTACTTCTTAATTCTGATGTACACACAATCAATTGTAATTACTTCATGTTTTAAAAATATCCAAACACTTTAATGAATTTTGTAGAAATTATTTTTTCATGTAATAAAAAAAAATTTGATACTACATATAAATTTCCTAAGTAAATATCTTGGTTAGATATATTAAATGTCTCCCCATAATGAACCAGTCAGCTTAAATCAAATTCAAAACCTCATCTACCTCAATAGGACGATGCTGTAGGAATATAAAACCCTTTTATAGTGTTTTCTCTAAAAGTGATTGTTTTAATTTTATTTCTACTATTAGTTGGGTTTAAGTAATTATCTTTATTTACACTGCAAATAGGCTTACAAATTAGAAATATTCCAGATAAGTTTTAAGAATTAGTACTTTGAGTGTGTATTGAGTGTGTTAGCATACCGATCTGACATTTAATAGAGCCATAAAACAAATTCTTTATATTTCAATGAACATAAAGAAAACAAATGGACTACCATTGGAGGAGGACTTCATGATCTATATGTTAGAAAAAAATGAGTTCTACAGACCCCTACACTAAGTGAAGGAATCATAAAAGAAATATGGAAGTTGATATTAGCAGTTTCTGCAGCAATAAGAACATGATAAAAGGTTTCTTGACAGTATGAAACCCTTGAAACCTAGTTTGTAGGCCTGGCAGTGTCCTGCTGTCTGTAGTAGGTCTTTTGGTTTTCCAATGACTTCTGGTTCGTCTCCCCATGTTGAAATGACTTATCAAAATGCCTTAGTTTCCAAGAGTAATCAAAATCATTTGAACTTTAAATACACAATTAAAACAGAGCAATTACTTCTTGATCCAGTGAAATGGTAGACTCTGGTGAAGCATCATTTTGTACTTGGATATATGTTTTCGAAGTTATCAGCCCATATGAGCTTACTTAAAATTATGTTTGTTCATTTTAAATACAATAATCCTAACCACTGATTTTGACATTTTTTGATTTGTTTCTTTTTATAAGATGAAGATTCCTGGAGAAAAATTTTAGATACTTTTGATTCTTTCAATATTTGCTCAACTTAAGGCAACCATAAGATAATATTTAGTAAGATCGTAACTCTGATGATCTCTCCAGGCTGTTAACCTTAACCTTATATTAGATCCCTGCTCCCCCCACATCTCACCAGTGCCAAAGCATTATAGCTTTGAAATAACTCTTGTTGGGTTACATAATTTTTGACTATTTTTATTTATTTCTTCTTGGAATCCTTCCGTGAAATGGAACTGAAAGAAGAAGCTTCAGGTATTTATTCCCCATAAACATTATCAGGACGATTTCCATTTCAAAAATCAGTGATTTTTTCCAATGCTTTTTAGTGAGAGTCTTTGTTTTCTAGAGATGACTGTTAGGCACAGGAGGTACTAACATGAGGAAGATTAAATGACCCAAGTAAGTGTAAACCCAAAGAGCAGGCAATGGTGAGCCCTTCTTTTTTATATGTCCTGACAGGATCCAATTCACCTACTTGGATGGTTGGCCAATGGCACATTGTGCCTTTAAACACACACGCGTGCACACACACACACAATGTCAACAGTGATGCTTGGAAATGCTTATGCAGTTATTCTTGACTTTTAATATTACACATGTTTTCTTTAGTTTAGCTTAGTTTAGTTTGGATACTAATCAATTCTTACCAAAAATAATATACTTCCTTTAACTTTTACATCTAAAAATACATTAAAATGCCTACTATTTTTTTCCACTCAAATTATTAACTTGCTAAGCCCATACAAATACACATGCACACACACACACACACACACACACACACACCCACACCCCTCTATCTCCCTAAGGTAAAATAAATTGTAGTTTTTCAATTAAGGAGTAACTAAAATGATTCCTAGCATTTCAGTGCCTTATCTTAAAAAAAGGCAAGA